CGCACACCTAAATTTCTGGTAAGCTCTGAAATTTCTCCTGCAAAACATCTGACAGTCTGACCCTAGTATTATGGGCTAGCTGCAATGTCTGAACAGTCTTCAAACATAGCCCCACTTAAAGCACATTGCAGCAATCCATCCTTCAGGTTACCAGGGCATAGATAACTGGCTAGGTTATCTCTCTGTGTGAGGGGCCACAGTTGGCACAACAGCCTCAAGTGATAGAAGGTTATTTGTACCATTAGGCCTGTTTGAGCCTCAAAAGGGGAAGAAAAATCCCATTTCACTCTAGAGATGCACCTTACCTTTTAGGTTAAACACCACCTTCCTGGGCACATGATCTTCATCTTGTCAGGACTGAGTTTCAGTTTATTAATTGTCATACAGCACCTTATTGCTTCTGAAGACTAAATTAGCATTTCTGCCTCACCTTATTCAGCTGTAAAAGGCCTCTGATGACCTCAGCACCAACAGAATGGATCTCATAATGCAAATGCTATAGGGCAGAAGTAAAGTTCCCCAGTATGGCTTGCACCAATGAGGACTTCCTTTCTAAGGCTCCTAGCTCTGTAGAAGAAAGCTGATCTCCATTCCAATCTCAGTGGGGAAGTGAAAAGAGAAGTCCCATTTCTGCAGCCTTCACAGTGAAAATTGCCTCCCTGTAATTAGTTAAGGAAGAACAAAATGCAAAACTATGTACTGGGTATTAAGGGCCCATCTAGTTTGACCATAAAGCCCAGGTCTCCATGCTATAGACATGGCTAGTGGTGAACTGTCCTTGATTCAACTCAGAATTTGTTTACATAATTCACAGGAAAAGTTTGTTGTCTAAGAGGGTTTTCTCCCAGCTTGTAAGTTGGTGTCTATGTGCTGATGGTGTCATGCACTTTACCATATTGTCCACTGGGAATTACAGCTTGGTTTCACCTGCCCTGCACCCAGCGGCAGCCATGCCTGGAAAGTCAACTGCTTCAAGTCCCCAAACACATCCAGAAACAAATGAGTTTTGTATGGAGGACAAAAGTCACATAAAACAGTGTATAAGGACTAGTCAAGCTAGCTAACTGAGAATATGCTCTTCAAATAAAAGGCTGTTTGGTCACATACTTTCATCACATTGTTAACAAATTAATAAGAGTTCTATAGAAAGTAAGAGGTTAGCGTTATGTACATACACCTATAAAACCATAGGCTTTGTTCTTCCACAGCAATCAACTTATGGGGGAAATGGTGCTCAGTGTGTAGCACAACTGAGAACTATGTTGACATCCATCTGTCTCAGGAGACAGTGGAGGAGTGCGACTTTGGAGTGAAGTCAGACCGTTGGAGAGTTACAGCGCCTGTTGTGGCTGTAGAGAATGATACAGAAGAGACATGTTTTGTTGCAGCTGGGGCCGATGAAGGTGTGCGGTTGTGCTGCTGCAGATGCATGAGAACCATGAGCTAGACAAATACCAGCTATCTGGACATATCTGGACATAAGATTAGTATTATCTTTTCTTCATACATCTTCAGATTGGTAGATTCATGCAAATAGAGTCAGCTATTCTGTACAATTTATATGCGCAGGAACTTTATATATCCCAGTGGTAGGAAATCCACATTCAGAACCAATTCATCCATTAAAAGATGTTTGTGAATAGTCGTAGATGGAAGTAATTCTGAAGTATTTTCAGAATTACCATTCAGTGAATATATTCACACCTATCCTTTAGTGAAAGACTAATTAGTTCTAACTCTAGTCCTATGCTAAATTTCTCCCTAACAAGGTATCTTCCAGGGAATAGAGTGATTTGCTGTATGCATAGCTGTCAACGTTTCCCTTTTTTTAAGGGAAATTCCCTTATTCCGAATAGGATTCCTCGCAAGAAAAGGGAAAAGTTGACAGCTATGGCTGTATGACATCTAGGGTTGGGTAAGAAATTTGATTTTGTTTATATTTTAATGAGAAACTACCAATCCACACTTTTCAAATCAATGTGTGAACTGAAACAACTATCCTTTGAAATATGCATATCTCTGAATTTTGCAATGCAGTTCTCCAACCAGAAAATGTGTACAAAAATAAGTATATTAGGTTTTTCAAATTGCTGCAGAAATGTGGAGAACTTAACTTAACATTGAAAAAAGAGAAACTAAAAGAAAGCAAAACTGACTGATACTTCCACCCCTAAAGACAGGTTATTCTCTCACCTGTACCAACAATACATGACAGAATATTCTCTGGGACAAGGTAACTTCAAACAGTTCTAAGGTGTTCCTCATCTCTGTTCACATCATATTGGAGGGATCAGCACAACAATCCTTTTGGTAGAAATTAACATGGTAGCTCAAATATGCACATACATAGGAAGTGGTAACATAATCACAAATAAACATGCCTGAATTTTCCCTGAAGCAGATTTGTCCAGTTTGAATCATCTGTTAGTAGGAAAGTCATTCCATATGTAATATATGGAAGAGGGAAGGCTTCAAGAAGATCCTGTTCCCATTCCTTCCCAGGTGACCAGCTTGGTGGGAAATCTAGTCATTATTAAGGATGCCTAATTGAGAACTGTGTTTTTTCACCATCTATTCTGTTGCACGCTTTTGTAATTTAGATGGATTTAGTAGGTCATGACTCGCCCTTTGTAGTGAGATTGCGTTGCAGTAGTAGTTAATAACAAACATGCATGTTGTAGACAGAGATGTGTGTGTTTGTTTCACATGCTTGTAAATATACACTGGGCAAAACAATTTCAGATTACTGTAAAACTGCAGTTACTAGAAGCTTTACCAGAAAACAATAATATAGCTCCTCACTTGAGTCATGTGGTTTCTTTTAAAAAAGAAACCCTTTACTTTCCATCCCTGGTACTTGTAATGTAGCTCACAGTTCTCATTTTTCCTTGTAGTCTATGTCTCAGAATAATCTGGGTGGTGCAGATTTACTTTTTAGAAGTGTTTCAAACATGGAATATTGCTCAGTGTTCTATATTCATAACTACCACATTTCTAAGAATCTCAGAAAAGTTGACCAAAATAATAATAGTAAAACTTCATTCTATAATATAGTATAAATAGCAGGTGTGGGCCAAACTCTTTCCTGATAACCAGCTAAACACAGAAGGTTTTTAGCTCATAAGGTGCAACCCTTCAATAGAAGAGCTTATTTATCTTCAGAACGAGCTCCAAACTGTGACAGCAAAAGGGTTAACGAACTGACTTTCTGCAACCTCTCAACACCAACCCTATCTACTTTCAGAATATTTCACAATGCAACTCCTGTAGTTTTACTACCAGTTTCAGACAATGAAGGTGTGTCTGAGCTCAGCACCTGATTTTGCCCATTATATGGGCGTTGAATTCAGCACTGTCTTGTCAACACTTGAATATGTTGAACATCACTCACATGGGCATACTGTAAGAAACCTATTAAGGTAATTATGGAGGCTGTGTGTGCGCACACACACATGTGCAGATATATTGCGGATTTCTTCATTCTGAGCTCTGTTCATTACAAACCTTGCATTTCAGACTGATGGAATCTTGTTCGTCTCCCTAACTGTTGTATTACAGTCATGCAACATTTTAGTTAGAGTTTTTTCTCCCTGTATCAATATTTTAGAACAAAAAGAGAGCCCCTGAAGTGGCAGCTCACGTCATGACAAAACATAAAAAACCACCCTTCGTGGGAGAGTAGACTTACTCCCTTCTTCTCCCTGTCAGAACTCAATGGGTCAGAGGGCTGCTTCAGGCTAGCTGAACCCCCCCTTGAGATCACAAGAGGCTTCCGCAAAACTTGCATCTAGAAAGTGCTTCTGATACCTGGATGTGGAGACTGCACTGATCTCATTACTGCAATTTGCCTGTTTGTGATAAGTCTTGTTCTGGAGCTAATCCACACAGGAATGCAGTGCCTGGCCCAACGAACAGTAAACAGAGCAGAGTTCCACCCCGCATTTTGATCCCATGAGGACACATAAGAGAAAACCTCTCCCATGGGCCCTTGTGGGAGTGGAAGAGGAAAGAGCCCTTTATCAGGTTTCCCCCTAGAGTGCTCAGGTTGCTGGTTGACAGGGCTGGAAATGACTTTTTCTGTCAGCCTGACTGACAGGGGTTTTTTGCCTTTCCTTCAGTGAAATTTATGGCTTTTCTTTTTTAGGCAAAATAACATTGTATATATTCAAGGGCAGCAGTAGCATTGGGCAGGTTCAACATAGTGAAAGGGGGACCCCATATCGGGCCTGGAGGTAGAATCGGCCATGGCACCCCCAAAGCTCAGACAGGGGTTGCTGCCTGGCTGGGAGGCTGGTTGATATTTTTATCTTTCATTTGGCTTTCTCACTTCTCTCACTTTTCCCCATTTTAAACTTAGGCCTGTTACTGTTTGGACAACTAGTTCCAAAGGTCAGTGATGTGAGACATTAAAAAAAATCATTTTCCTGCTCATTCTAAAGTAAGGTGACATAGTAAAGAGAAGTTCCCTATTCATCTTTTTGAAATTTTTTATAGTTTTATATAATTATCATTATCTTCCCTTATTTCTGAATTATATTGTACTTACTCCTTTATTACACTTTTTGTATGAACATTGTAAAGTTACCATAACATTTGTAAACTTTTGTCTCGCGTTTCACTCCTATTTTACATTTGGGAAAGCAAGGCAGAGATCAGAAAAAGGACTTTAAAAAAAAAAAATTAAGAAAATATGGAAAGCATTTATTGATCATACAGGTGTAAAGAATAATACCTGCCCTCCACTCCTGGATGTACGCCAGACCATGGAACTTTTGAGTTACTTTCTCTTTTCATCTCAAACCCCCCGTAAAGAAAATCTAAAGGAGCACTTTTAAATTATAATTACACCCACTGCATGAATAGAAATGGTCAATTTGCTACCTTGCACCACATGTAACATTAATACCTCCCCCCTTTGCAGCTGCTTTGGGTCCAGTTGATGAATTTTGCTTGGCTTAGAAACCCAATTTCCAAAAAACTAATGGCAATCTTGTGTAACCCTATGCATCCTCTTCCGGCGCATCTGCAAACATGGTTGTAACGTTCCCATCCTTCCGATGGATCGTCACCTGCCCTGCATTTTCTACTTTTGGAAGGAAGTTCTCTGTGGGGGAACCAGAGTTGTTATCTTCCTTCAAAGGCACAAAAGCTTGCTTCATTTCCGTCTCATCAGGCTGGCCCGCTACATACCCTTCTTGGTGCATGAGGGCAATCTTCTGGGCTCTGTTTGCTGCAATATTTTTCCACAAGAGGACTATGCCTACAAGCAGAACCAGCACCGAAAGGCCGAGAATGCAGTAATTCCATGTAGCCGATTCTTCTCACCGGAAAAACCACAGCAGCTCCTGAAGCATCGCTGAAGGCATCTCTTCTGTTTCAGGCTTACCACTGATCTCTCTTTTTTTTTTTTTAAGAATATTTATTCAAATTTTAAGATTACAAAAAAAGGAAAAAATAAAGCAAGAAAGACCAATCACATACATCTTACAAAAAAAAACACACCATACAAGAAAAAAAAATACACAAGACAAAAAATTACAATAAAAAATAACAAAAGAAAAATTCAAATTAAACAAACCGTTTTCCCATTTACTTATTTCCGTGACTTCCTCTCACTTCTCTGCTTTGTATTCTAATTCAAATTGTATCTCCAGCAAATCCTTGTAGCCTTCTTTTCATTTGCTTATTTTAACATTTTAACATTCAAAAATATTTAATTCTCCTCTATCTTTTAATTTACACTTCATATTTACTTAATTCCATTATACTCTGTCTGCCAATACGGTCTAATATTTCTTCTCCAACCTTTCCTAACATTCTTTTATGTTACAGTGATTCTGAAGATATGTTTTAAACTTTTTCCAATCTTCTTCCATCGACCCTTCTTCTTGATCTCGAATTCTTCCGGTCATCTCAGCCAGTTCCATATAGTCTATCACTTTTCTCTGCCATTCTTCTCGGGTAGGCAATTCTTGTGTCTTCCAATATTTCCCAATGAGTATTCTTGCTGCTGCTGTCGCATACATGAAAAAGTTCTATCTTCCCTTCGCACCCATTGGCCGACCATGCCCAAGAGGAAGGCCTCTGGTTTCTTTAAAAAGTATATTTCAATACCTTTTTAATTCATTATATATCATTTCCCAGAATGCCTTGATCTTTGGGCACGTCCACCAAAGGTGAAAGAAAGTACCTTCGTTTTCTTTACATTTCCAACATTTATTATCAGGCAAATGATAAATTTTTGCTAGCTTGACTGGGGTTAAGTACCACCTATAAATCATTTTCATTATGTTTTCTCTTAAAGCATTACAAGCCGTAAATTTCATACCTGTGGTCCATAACCGTTCCCAGTCAGCAAACATAATGTTATGCCCAACATCTTGCGCCCATTTAATCATAACAGATTTAACCATTTCATCCTGTGTATTCCATTTCAACAGCAGATTATACATTCTTGACAAATTTTTAGTTTTAGGTTCTAACAGTTCCGTTTCCAGTTTAGATTTTTCCTCCTGGAAACCAATCTTTTTGTCTAAGTTAAAAACCTCCCTTATTTGATAATAATGCAGCCAATCTCGAACTTTGGTTTTTAATTTGTCAAAACTCTGCAATTTTAATTTATCTCCAACTTGTTCTAAAATTTCACAATATTTTGGCCAGTTTGTCTCCATATTAGTTTTTTTCAATGCCTTTGCCTCCATTGGTGACAGCCACCTTGGTGTTTTACTTTCCAACAAATCCTTGTATCTCACCCAAACATTAAACAATGCTTTCCTGACAATATGGTTCTTAAAGGCCTTATGCGCTTTAACTTTATCATACCATAAATATGCATGCCATCCAAAAACGTTATCAAAACCTTCTAAATCCAAAATGTCCCCATTTTCAAGAAGTAGCCAATCTTTCAGCCAGCAGAAAGCGGCTGATTCATAGTAAAGTTTAAGATCTGGCAGGGCAAATCCCCCTCTTTCCTTTGCATCTGTTAATATCTTAAATTTTATTCTAGGTTTTTTGCCCTGCCAGATAAATTTGGAAATGTCTCTTTGCCACCTCTTGAAACAGTCCATTTTGTCCACAATTTGTAATGTTTGAAACAAAAACAACATTCTAGGCAGTACATTCATCTTTATCGCAGCAATTCGGCCAAGCAATGATAACTTCAATTTTGACCATATTTCTAAATCCTTCTTCACTTCTGACCAACATTTTTCATAATTATCTTTAAACAGGTTCACATTTTTGGCAGTCATATTCACCCCTAAATATTTCACTTTGTTGACAATTGTTAATCCTGTCTCTTTCTGGAACCTCTCCTTCTCTATCTCTGTAAGATTTTTCTCTAATACCTTGGTTTTCATCTTGTTTAATTTAAAACCAGCTACTTGACCAAATTCTTGTATTAATTGTAACACCCTTTTTGTGCTAGCTTCTGGCTCCTGTACTGTCAAAACTAAATCATCAGCAAACGCTTTCAATTTATACTGTTTAGCTCCAAGTTGTATACCTTTAACCAATTGGTCTTTTCTAATCATATTGAGCAAAACCTCAAGGACCGATATAAAAAGCAATGGGGAGATTGGGCAACCCTGTCTTGTTCCTTTCTCTATCTTAAATTCTTCAGTAATTACATTGTTCACAATAAGCTTAGCTTTTTGTTCCGAATAAATTGCACTTATACCATTTTCGAAACTTTGGCCTACCCCCATCCCCTGCAAATTTTTCTTCATAAAACTCCAAGAAATATTATCAAACGCTTTCTCTGCATCCACAAATATTAAAACAGCTTTAGTATTAATATTAACTTGCAATTTTTCCAAAATGTTAATAATATTCCTAGTGTTGTCTGACAAATGTCTTCCAGGCAGAAAACCCGCCTGGTCTTTATGAATCTCTTTTACCAATACGTTTTTTAATCTCTTAGCCATAATTTCAGCAAAAATTTTGTAATCCACATTTAGCAGGGATATGGGACGGTAGTTCTTCAACTGTGTCTTCTCACCCTCGGTTTTTGGTATAAGTGTAATGTACGCTTCTTTCCACGACTCGGGTGCTTTTCCTCCCCGTAGTATTTCATTACAAAGTTCTTTCAACGGTTGCAATAACCATTCTTTCAAAGTTTTGTAATACTTTGCAGTTAGTCCATCCGGCCCTGGGGATTTGCCCAATTTCATATTCAGGATGGCTCCTTCCACTTCTTGATCAGATATAGTCGAATTTAATATTGATTTACTGTCTTGAGATATTTTTTGTAATCCATTATTTTCCAAAAATCGGTCGATGTCTAAATCTTTCTGAATCTCCTGCGTGTATAGCTGTTTGAAATAGTTCTGAAAGCACTTCCGAATCTCTCCAGGATTCTGTATATTCTTTCCTTCTACAACCAAGTTCGTAATTGTATTCAGCTTTTGTCTTTTCTTCATTTGCCAGGCCAATAACTTCCCACATTTATTTGCCGATTCGAAAGTCTTTTGTTTCATCTGTTTAATCTTCCATTCTATCTCCTGATTCATCAATTTCATATACTGTACTTGGTATAGTTTTATTTCTTTTAAAATCTCCTGTGAGTTCGGTTTCGCTCTCAGTCTTTTTTCTCCATCCTTTATTTTCTCCAAGATTTTTTCTCTCTTCTCATTTTGGTATCTTTTCCTAATTGCATTTTGTTGTATCAAAAATCCTCTCATCACCGCTTTACTAGCATCCCAAATCACTCTTTTTTCTGTCGTAGTATTCAAATTTATTTCAAAATAATCTCTCAAGTTTTTTTGATAGGCTTACCACTGATCTCTGGGGGATCTTGATCGTGTGGGCTAGACATGGCCAGGGCAGAGTGTCCACTCCGGTCTGTGTTCACTGCTGGACTGTTTGTTTCAGCTTGGGAGCGGCTCTTCAGATCCTGAAATGGAAGTGCCTTTCCTAGCTGTCTCACTTGACATTCTTTAATCCCAGTACAAGATATTGGACCAGGCTGGGATGTGACAGAGACAGATCATGCTAGTATTTCTACTCTATTGCATTGTACACATATAATAAAGAAAGAAGGAGGCAGTTGGCCCAGAACATTTGACTGCAGAAAAAGGACTTTGTTAAAACTACACAATGAGTCACTGAGACAGTATTTAACAGTATCTCAGAAGCTCAGCAGTGTATCTGAATCCCTTTCACTGCAAGGCTCTTACTTTTTGGAGCCCTCTCTCCAGAGGGACCCACCAAGCTACCTGCCTGTTCCCTTTCGAGAGACAAGAAGATTTTTTTACACACACACCCATTTCTGATATACTGATGCTATACCTTTTCTGAACACTACTTTTTATTACAGTTTTGCTGCTTTTGATTAGAATATTTGGAATTAAGGCAGGTGCTTTTTATTTTAGCTCTGCTTCCTGCACTTTTTGTTGATTTTTGTGTTTTTATTTTGTATTGCTGTATTGTATTGTTTTGGTCTTTTAATTGTTCTTAGCCACCTTGGACTAAGTTGAAAGGCAGTGGAAAGTGTTTCAAGAAATGAATAAATATTTTGTTAGGTTTTATGTAGTTTTTAAGCATCTTCCTTTGCACATTTCTTTGCATGTTTCTTACTGAAATGGAGAGAGGGGAATCTCACATATTAACATGGAATTTGGGATTCCAAATCAGCTCTTGCAATCTGGCTGGGTTCAGTAAAAAATAAATTATTCTGAGTTTTTTAAAAATTAAGCATTGCATCTCACAATTCATTTCAGCTCCTTCTCTTCTGAGCTCCCTCCAGGACCACAGGAAGAGAGTTCTTTGGGGGTTTGTGCCAAATTCTCTGTCTGCTGAGAAAGCCCTGAGCCCCATGGGAACCATTGTTCCGGTTGGCTTTTAAGGAGAAGAACGAAGTGCAGGGCATTGTCTCTGCTGCCTTGGCAAGAGCTGCTGCTCAACTCCTGCCAGGATTATAACCATGCGGCAATAATAATAGTGTTTAGGATTAATCTCTCTGCTACAGTAAAAGTCTCAAGTCTCTGTGAGTTCACAGCAAGCAAAGTCCCATTGGCAGGCTGTAGATTGGCCTCAGCCCGATGAATGCAAGTGTGCTTCTCTTACTACTGAAGCCTGGTTTGGTTCCATTATTTTTGCCTCATGATCAGACCAAATTCTACAGCTGAGTCATCACAGCAAGGGTTAAGCAACTCCTGGAATGATCTTTCTTTCTGATGCCTCTAGAGATCATTACACTGTCTGT